ATAGGGAAATGCAGATCAGTGGAGCTTGGGGGTTGTTGGTACATGAGCTGTTAATGCTGCATAATTTAGAGCTGTGTTTGGAGCTTGGGTAAGTTGTCTAATACTGAACCATGCTGCAGTTGTTTTCTGGCATCCTGGTTATTAGTTTGTAGTTTAGAACTTGGTTTTCTTCTGTAATGTAAACCATAGCCGAACAGTAATCTTGGTCAGCAAAATTAGTCCCTGTCCTGATAACTCTTGTTCAGCCTAATTAATCTACCTATACCTTGACTACTGAGATGTTTTTTTCTATTGTCACCCTTACTCTTATTTACTTTATTTGAAGCACTGTATTGATACCACACTACCCAGTAAATTTCATTTCAGGTACAAATAGCTCAAAATTAAGGGCTCTGCATTACCAAAAGAATATAACATTAGACTTGTGGGAGCCAGATATCTCTTCTCAGTTCCCACATACTGGACTCAGGAGGGAGGAAACCTCTTCTGCTGCCAGCTCTGCTGGAGTTAATGAAGTTCAAGTACACATCTAGCTTGGTACAGGGCATTCTAGCTGTACCAGGGATTTCTGGCAAGGAGAGGAAGATGTAATCTCCAGGTCAGGCTGGATTGTTCAGACACCTTAAACCTCTATTTTTTACCTTACAAGGACTTTGATAGGATAGATACCTTAATTCACTGTTACTGTACTTCATCACCTAACAGCTTTTCTCAAAGCAGCAGGCTTTCACTGTGCAGTTGGAGCTGAAGGGTTGGGCTGATGGCAGCTAAACATATGAGAGATTTTATAAGCGTGGACTAAAGCAGTCCTAGATAAATACTGTGACACACAGAAACTACCTTCCGCCCTGCAGCTCAGCCCAGCTAGGCTTTCCTGTTTCTGAACACAACTTAGTCATGCACATTTGTTCATTTTTAGCAATGGATAAACAACTCTCTTGCTTAGTTAGATAGGTGCTAAACCTTCAGTGATTCATGACCATCAAGAGTGTGCATATACTGGGCTTCAGATTTCATTGGAAGTCTGGCTGTGGTACTGTGATGTACATCTGGCAGAATCCTTAGGGCTCCTGGCACAGAGTGACAGTAGTGTGCACTTTGTACAAGAAAATATTTTGGTCATGAAGAGATGGGTCTAAATCCACAAACATTCATGGTGTGTCCCTACATGGGTGTAGATCCCTTCATTTTTACAGGCCTTGCTCCTGCTGCCCTGAATTTCTTTTGTGAAACTGTGGTCATCTTCGTTCTTAAAAGGAATGACTGCTTGTTTCTGTGGTGGCAGTCCGTTTTCTTTTGCTTGTGTAAATCACTGAGGGTGCTTGAGTAAACATTTCAATGTGAAATAACAGCATTTTTTCCCAAGTTCAGAATTAAACGGATAAGCAAAATTTATCCTATTATTTATTTCAATCAGGAAATACTGAAAGACCTTCAGGGAAAAAGCATTGTAATTTCTGTCTCAAAGAAGCATGAAGATGGTCTTTGTGAGAGCATTTCTGAAGCAGCAGTGCATGCTTGCCCTCTCTTCTCTGCATGTTCTCTTAGGAGCTTGACAAGGCATGCATCTGTCACATGGCCTACTGAAGGATATAGAGAGTGGTGGAAACTCTCTACAGAAAATCTTGTAAAGGGTTTTGGAAGCGCCCTATAGTACTCCCAGCTAAAAGTTGTACTGAGGATGTGTTTAACAGAGAGGGGTGGTATATTGTGGCAGTAAAGTGGAAATATGAGTAAAATACATACAAATAATAACATTCCTAATACAGACTTCTGCAATTGCTGGTTATTGATCTGTAGAAAACTAATGGCTACTGTAAAAGTTGTAACAACTCTGGCATGTTTACTGCATATACCAGCAGAAGGCTTTCAGAGTGCCTCAATTTCTGTTCTAGGCTGTCTTTGGGAAAGTCACCTTCGTGAGCATTGAGACCACATGTAAGTGGATGGTCTAACAAAAGTAGACGTGGACCTCAGAATTCAGCTGAAAGGGCATGGCAGGTTGTCCTATTAAATAATGTTACTGCTTTTCCTTGGCAAGAGGAACTCAATTAAATTAGCAGCAGTGGGGTCCAGAGTACTAACAAAGGCAAAAGTTATCACTTCTGCATTGGTTTTGTAACTTTCAGAGTTAGAAACCTATAGCAATATATTTAACGTAAGCTAATTCTTGAATGAAGCAGCTACTTCTCAGTTCCCTAACAAGAAGACATAGTATTTCCAGGAACGTTAATGCTTTTGAGGGTTTCTTGTCTTGTTTTGAAGTCAGCCTCTAACAGATGTGTGTTGTAACCTGTTTGCAAGATGATCAGACTGTAATTGTTCATTATCAAGGGGAACAGTATAACTGTCTTTCTTTGGGCAGGGTTAGATAATGAGACTTTTCTCTTTGAGAGTACATGTGACAATATAAGTAAGATTTTCTGTTGAAGATGACTCTGAAATCAAAGAATAGGAAATGAAGAGCTTTACAGTAAGTTGTTTACTGTCTTCAAGTACTGGCATTTAGCATTTTCATTCTGGACACTAGTTCTTAACAATCCTTTATTTGGATTGAAAATTGCAAACTATATGTTAAGATTTTAAGTAGTTGGTTTGGAATGTGTGAGTGTCAACCAAAGAGGGAGCAGTGATAGAGTTTTTAATGGAACAATATAGGAAGGTTATGAAGGTGCACCCAGTCAGTTTATCAGACAGGGTTTTTTTCTTTATTCAGCCTTTTGTTTAATTCAGCCCTGGGCAGATGAACTGGGCTGAGAAGCAGTTGAAAAATCATGATTTGGCATTGAGGAGAAATATAGTTTATTTTTGCACAAAGTGCACAAGCACCTTAAACTGTTGTTTGAAACTAGGTGTTAATCCCCGTGACATGTTCCATTCTGCTGAGTGGCTTGAATTTCTGTCAAGGAGCTGAGGGAGCAAAAATCTTGTTCCTAGCATTTAAAGCAGACTAATTTGTCTGCAGTGCTATGCACAGTCCTTATAATTAAAAAGTTCAAGGCAAATGCCAAGTGGCTGCAGAATGTCTTTCTCTATTTTTGTAAGGCACTTAAAGTCTGGGAGAAACATCTGTTTCCTCCTCCCTGCAGCTCATTTCAGAGATTAATATGCTTCTAGTGAAATCTCCCTGTGACGTGTGCTGCTATTCAATGAAGATTTTCAAACACCTACACAAAATCTAATTGCAGCTTCTGCCATTTCCTGCCTCTATTGGAAAAAGAAAAAAAAAAGGCATTTAAAAAAGATTTGTGAGATAAAATGGGAGTTGCCAGTCTGAGTTACACCTATAATAAGAAGTTGTGGCAGAAAGTACTTGAAAAAGTGGAACTATTTGGCATTACCCATGCCATATGTGCTGAGAGATCACTGCCTATGCAAATACAGTCACTATGCAAATGCTTTTGCCATTCATTTCTGTCCTCAACCTGAAGAGCATGGGAACTGTGGAGCTCAGAGGGGAGATAGATATACAGCGATATTTTGAGTCCCTTTCTTCTGCACAAATTCTCAGTGTGATTTTTGAGAGTCAAAAATTCAGACTTGAAATACATTGTCATTTCTGTGCAGACATAAATTTCCTGTAACTTTGCAGTCCATTAAAAATACAGATGTTGGTGAGGAACAATGATGGGTGCATACCATCCAAAATTTCAAACCAACTATCTTTCTTAAGTTTTGCCTCTCCCTGTGATTGGGTGCACCACCTTCCACTGTGCAGAGTTGTTTACACAGTGCTTACAGTGACGACAGAATCTGTTTCGGTGTTTGGATCAATTTTTGGGCCCAGGCTCCCGGAAAGCAAGTGAAAAGCACCTCTGTGAGCTGGGCCGACCTCTGGCTGGGCTAACAGGTTGAGCTGAAGTTGAAGATGTTTTTGCAATAGGAGACTTTTTTAGCATTACCGTTCTTTTCCTCAGCTGTCAGACCAATCACTGCATATTCGTTACAGCTTCTTTTTGCAAAGGGACTAACACTACTTGATGCAGCTGACTGCTGTGAAATACAGAGGCGTTTTTGTCAGTTCCTGGAAAAAAAAAAAAAAAAGACATTTCAGTTTGTCTTCTCTTCATCTCAGGCTCTCTCTCAGTTGGTGTGAAACTGTTGGTCTGGTGAAATCAACAGAACGGTTGTTAGGAGGAGTTACCGTCCCTGGCTTTCTGGTACTTGTCTGTGCAGCTGGGATGCCTTAGCCATGACCACCTTCAGTGTTGACTTAAAGTAATCTGCTTTTTTTGGCACTGACATGGATCAGGACTGCTTTCACAAGCATGCCCATGAGATAGTAGTACAGTAACAGCTGTATAGTTAAATGTCAGTCACTGTAAGGCAGTGCCACTGAAGCCACCAGTAAAATTTATTAAGACAGGACCAGCAAGAGAGGGCAAGCAATGAATGCTTGTTATCAGGATAACTCCAGTCATGGCAGTAAAATCCCTGTGAAGAGGGTGAAAATCCATGGCCTCAATTCCTTATTAGGAGAATGGTGGTTCAAAGGACAAAATAGCTCTGTTAATTTACTGTCCTGAAATGTTTATAAAGATGCATCTTTGATGGGTGAGATTACAAACCAGAAAACTATATAGAAAAGAAAGAGTACCCTGAAGAGAGACATACGATGTTTAAGTGAAGATAACTATCTACACACACATATATTTTAAGGTCAACATTTGAAGAGCTCTTTACCCAAAACTGGAATATGTTGCTGCTTATAGAAATGAAATAGTGTGTTTATCTAAGCCATTGAGATGTAATTTCAGTTTATGCCATGTTAGCACAACTAATCCTTTCAGTGATGTTCAGCTTCTGCCAATTCAGTCAATGGACTAATTGTGTGAAGTGAAGCGTACAAGCACAGCAGTGTTTTATGTGCTACATCTCACCACTTCCTGACCCTGTCTCCCTGCACACTACCTTCTTGCAGTCTTCTAGCCAGATCTGTTGTACAGTTAGAAATGCCCAGATTAATTTTCCCTGCTTTGACAAGCTCCTTTACATTGCAGGAGGCCAGCTTTTATAGTGCATCCATAGGAAGCGTCTCCACTACAGCCTTTCACCGCACAGGAGACAGACTGAGGATGTAGGCAGCTGACAAATGTGAAAGCAATGAAGAGGTGTTCCGAGGTTGACAGCGCTTTTCATAGTACGCCCGTTTTATGGGAAGGGCATAAGAAGGGAGATAAACAGGGGATGATTTTGAAAAGCTGAGAAGAAGCTGTAGCAGATGAAGATGTTCCAAAGACAAGATCACACCAAAAAGGTAAGAGTACCAACTTCATCCTGTCCTTTTTTTCCTGCTGCTTGAGTATTTTCTTCAAAATCAGCAATTCTTCGTTTGGAAACGCTGACATTTTCTGGAGAATCCTATAAATGCTATAATAGCCATTCAGTGTTACTCTGAGAAAAACACAGTACTATTTTTAAAGTTCACTCTAGCCTACTCAATTTCTACTCTAAAAGTTGGGTTTTTTTTCCAGAAGCTCTGCAAACTGATAAAATAATGATAACAGTTCAAACATCAGAAATATCTCTGCATAACTGCTGTATATAGAGTAATAATCAATCGAGACAGAGGAGGGGAAGTCACGTGGCCGTTGTTAAAAAGTCCTATGTAAGACTTTGACTCAGGACTAGAAATAACTGAAAATAACTCTGAAAGTCTTATTCTTAGTTAAACTGTCTTTACTTAAGGGTCTACCATTAAGGATGTATGCCTGAAAGGTCTGTGAATCTCTGTTGTTGTCAAAAGAGTGTCATGATGTCATGCATGCATCTGAGGGGAGAGCATCGAAGGGTTAATTTGATTGTGTTTGAGTGTAACAGTGCAGTGTCGCCATGTAATCTAGGATGTTACCTCAACCTTGCACCAAGTATACAGTCAGCTGAGTAAATGATGAAGTTCCTTGCACCAGCATGGGTTTGGGCCAAAACTGAGGGATTTCAAAAATCCCACTGTTAATGTTCTCAGCACAATTGTTTTAATGTAGCTTACAGCTAGATCCATATTCATGTTCAATTATCTAATTTTTCTTTCCTGTTTCTACATACACTAGAGGAAGTTTTATTAAAAATAATAATGTTTCCCCATTTAAAGTTCTTTTATTTTAAAAAATACCTAAGCCATCTTTCCTTAAACCTTCTCTGTGGTCTGTAGTCCTGGGCAGAGAGTATACATGGAAAAAAACCAGTAGTACTGTTCATTGTTGCCTAAATTTTTATAATGTTATGAGAAACAGAAGAGGGCCTTGAAAAGTTAAAATGGTGCACAATGAGAACATCCTCCTACAACAGAAACAAAGCTTCCCCTGATTTTGAGTAAGACTTGATCTGAATATTCCTAAAAAAATCCTATTCGTAGTTATTCGCTTTTTATGGAAGCGTCTGGTAGGATATGTCAGACAATGTTAATTGCACTAATTGGCCTTGATAACAGTTTCTAGTCTCTTGGTTATCAAATTTCTGCTCAAGGTCAGGCTTCATATGCTCAAATGGACCGTATTTACCCCCTGGTGTTTTGGAAAAACATGGAAAAATGCCTGGAAGCTAAAGAGTCTGTGGTAGCTGTGGGACTGACTGCCTTCCTTTCAAAACTTGAACGCTCCAAGAGGTGAGAATGCTTGGAGAGCCATCATTGCTCGGATGAACGGAACAAATCAGCATCTCACCACTAGGCACTTCCTAGTATTTCCAAAGCATGGCAGACTTTGAGGCCTGGACTAGTTTTTCATTGGCAGTGAGCCAAGTCATGTTATTAACTTTAAAGGCATTCATACAGAGTTTCCCACATAAGGATCTAGGCATCTTTTGGGTCTTGGCCCAAGCACTTCACAGCTCTGAGATATGCCAGAGCAGCTGAGAAACAAGGTAAATTCTTAGAACACTTTAAATGATCTGAACTGAATGACCAAATTCTGTCTTTGTCATTTGTCTTTCAGATCCTCAGGCTCCATCAGCCACCATCTGATCACATTGCAGCAACACACATGTTGCCATGAGGATCAGGAGGTGTCCTATCTACTTCACAGCTTATCTTTTTGTCCCGCTGGGTAAACACCAGAGAGAACTCAATATAGAGGCAAAGCAGACATTTTAAGAGAGCTGACAAGTCAGTTCCTGCACATACATGCATCTGTGTAAGAGTATTCGAAGTCCAGAGGCCTCTGTGGCACTTCATGGATGTCAGAACTTCTGCATGTGTGGGGTTAGACTCTGCTCTTTGAGATATGATGCTCCGACGAGGATTTATTCTATTTCTCCCCCGACTTGTAGGCCTGCTGGTGGTGGCCTGTTGCTCAATGTCTATTGTTTATATGTTGGCTTGTACACCCAAGGGTGACAACCAGCAGCTTGCCTTGCCCAGGGTGCACAGTCCGACTGTGAAGGAGGGTTATGAAGCCGTTCTGCAAGAGCGAGAAGAGCAACACAGCAATTACATCGTCAGCTTGAAGAAACAAATTGCCCAGTTGAAGGCTGAGCTCCAGGGCAGGACTGAGCAGCTTAAGAAGATGCAGAACCAGTACCCAGACCCCTTGGACGTTTGGCTTGACCACAGTAACCCTGAGAAGGCCCAGGCTAACCTGCTGGCTTTCCTGCGTTCCCAAGTAGACAAAGCGGAGGTGCACAGCGGTGTTAAGCTGTCCACGGAGTATGCGGCTGTGCCCTTTGAGAGCTTTACCCTGCAGAAGGTGTATCAACTGGAGACAGGGCTGACACGCCACCCAGAAGAGAAACCTGTAAGGAAGGATAAGCGAGATGAGTTGATGGAGGTGATTGAATTAGGAGTTGGGAGTCTGAACAAACCAGAGGGTGTCGGCAATGCAAAGCACCGTGTATACACGGCCTCCGACTTTGTTGAAGGTTTGTATGCAGACAGCAGGTTAAAAGGGCCACATAGTGCTGGTGAGGAGTCCTGCTGTGACTGATTTGCTGAGGGAGATGGGAATTTTAATCCACATCTGACCTAGGTGAATTTAGCATAGGAGAAAAAACTTGCCTTGCTCATCTTCAAATGTTTTTGCTACAGACACAGAGAACATGTGGGTAAGATGCCTACCTTTTATGGAACAACTGCTCTCATGTGCTGATCCCAAATCACTGGAGATTTTACTGTGGATTGTTTTTTTCACCAAGCATTTATGAACAGAACATAGCAAAATGCATCTGCCATGTGATGAGGAAAAACTACTGCTGTTGTGCATTGGCCAGTCGTTAATTTCCACTCTGTATGTTTCTCTAGTGACCGTAGGTTCTTGAAGCCATGCTGGATGTACCTGCCAGCTGGGCAGGTGCCTCCCATGGCAGGGATGTGAGTTGCTTAGACTGTGGAGATCTCATTGAGGCAGCTCCTTGCTCCCCACTGTTCCAGGCACTTCTTCCACTCTAGTCCATTTCTTCTTGCTCAGACATAGGATCAGGGGGTGGGCAGAGAACTGGGAAGTGCAGTTGAATGCATCTTGGAGCTACATGCTTCCATTCTCCTCCTTTCTGTTTGTAGTTCAGTTTATCTTTTCAAAATACATTTCTATAATTTATTATGGGGGCTGAACAAGCATGTACGATCAGCTCTTCCATGGGAGAGGGTGAGAAGACAGGAGAAGTTTCCTGCCATACGTTGCTTAATATCCGTTAAGTTTAGAGCCCACCTTTAAGCACCATTGAGGGTCTTTGACTGGGTACCAGTGACATGCTTGGGGATTAAGGCAGAATCTGATGTGCAGAAAGGCATGGGGAAGAGATGCACACTGCAATGCTGGCTCTGTGGAGGTTCTTCATGCACTAATGGTCTTGCTGGCTTTCACATACCATGGTGAAATACTCCGGAGGGAGGAAGCCCTGCATGCGATTCAGAGCTCAAGAAACTGAAGCCCCATGTGCAGGTCAGTCTGAGCTCAAGAAACCTTCCCTGTGCCCTCACTCACAGGGCAGGCCCTTGCTTCTGTAGGTGCAAGGGACCAAATTCCCATTCTCACTCAGCAGTACAGACCGATTTGTTTGCAAATGCAGGGATCCATGCACTGGGACTGGAAACAAAGATATTTGGCAGAAGATTTCCTGCCGAGTTCCTTTGGAAGTCTCTTTCATCTCTTGTCACTTTCTTTTCCCCCACCCTCCATTCTCCAAGAATGGCAAAACCCGCTGATCGAAGCACAAACAAATCTATTGCTCTGTGTGACTTGAGCAAGTGAAGGGAGGACTGAGTTTTCACTTCCAGTTTGATATTTCAGTTAGAGCTTGGACTCAGAACTTGTTTTGGAAACAGTGCTCTGCAGGTGCTACTGCCTACACAACAAGTTAGTAATAGGCTGGATTCTATGTCAGCTTGTGGCAGCTTAATATAAATCTAGCAACACAGCAACCATCAGCTGCATTTACCCAGCCACCAAGCTAGCTCTTTTCATTTTCTGGAACTGCCCAGGGTATCTGCAACTTTCTAGGAGAAGTGGCCCAGGTCTGCAATGAAAGTAATACCACTTAACCCTCTTAGTCTTTATCTTCCAGCTGCTTCAGCAATAACAGCACACGAAAGCTGTGTCTCTTATGCTAAACATGTGACCTACTGTCCTTGTCTTAAGGTTGATCAGGTGCTGAAATGAAAATCAGGTAATCAGGGTCAGAGACAGGATTAAAAACCTAAACTCCTGCTCTCTGTGAGATTTGTGTACTTGTTTCTTCTCTATTCAGCAGAGCCTTTGACACCAGCTTCACTAAAATGTATTGCTGATCCTGACTCTCACTAGAACATAGTGTCGTGCAAGTTAATCTTGTTTGCTTGGGCCTCTTGTGCAGACTTTTCTGTTCTTGTGGGTCATAGCTGGCACTTTTTCAGTACTAGTTCCGTGCTAGCATATGGCATTAGGCAGGGTGGTGGTATGGGGTAATAAACTCAATTAGAGTCTATATCTCTCCCTTTTTTTTTCATGTTGTGCCCTTATTCGTTTCTTTGCAGAGGGAAAATGTTTCTTCAAACACTTATTACATTTAAGGAGATATGTTTTGTCTCTGTGGCTGGGATTTCTTAAAATAAGTGTTGCATCCTCTGCAGTTTCTAGACAGAGCGACTTGTGCGTGGGAATTAGACTGTGACCCTAGTATATTACATCTGAGTTAAACTCCTCCTCAGCAGAATTGCTGTTACATGAAATTTGGATAGGATTCTCAGACAGTTCTCCTTCCAGAGTAATAGCTGACACGTAGTGGAATTTTCCATTTTTCCCCTTATTCAAAGCCAACGGAGCCACACCTTCTCCCTGGAGCCTGACATGTATCCATCTGGCTGTTGCTCTGCTCTGCTTCTCCCTTTACAGAGGCAGTTGAGTTCTTCAGCTGTTACAGTGCTCCCTTCTCCCCCTTTTTCCTCCCACTTTTGGACCAAGTTCACTAGTTTTCTGCCATGGGGAATCAGGAAAATCCAGTACGGAAAAAATCAGAAATCTCTGTGTATTAAAAGCAGGCAAAGGACCACTCTGTTTCAATAGAAAGCCCCTGCTCAGTGAGCAGGTAACAGGTCTGATCATTAATTTATGTAAATAGCAGCAGAGCTGAATAGATTTGGGAGTCATTCATTTTCTCCAAGGTGGAGATAATAATCTGGAGACTCTGACAAGCCTAAATGGTGTGTTCCATAAGTGAATCAAATCACTGTCTGGTGATACTCTTTCCTAACAGGAACAGTTCCAGAGAATCCCTGGATTGCTTAAGAAATGCCCTGCCATGATACTGTGAAATATGATGTATTGTAAGTTTTTCTACTTGAAGTACGTGGCTGTCTAGTGACTGAAAATTTAAATAAGGTGTCAAATACAAATGGAAAAGAGTAGCTTTGCTTTCTCAAGTTGGCTTGACTGGTGATGGTGGGCTACCTGGTGCAGTTTTGCCCTGAAAGCTTACTAGGAGAAAGGATGGTGTTTTTCCTTGAAGGTAAGATGCTGTATTTTACTGCACATGAAGTGGGAAGACCATCGTAATACAGAGTTAAAATGGGGACAGTGAATGCTGATAAATCCTAATAAGTGGTTCCTATAACATATAACAGAAGTAATGAGCATGGGTCCAGAGAGTGTTTCTAGTGACAGTGGAAGTCCTGAAACCTGTGGTCTGTGGAACTGAGGCTAAAATTGTCATCCACTCAACATCATTAAGAATGCATGGCTGTTGGCTAGTTACCCATTCTGCGTAGGTCCGTGTAGGTGCAACTTGTTTGCCTGTCCTGTCGAAGAGAGATCAGGTATTTTCCATTTCTTTAGGGAACCCTAGAAATTGCTGCTCTGAAGACTGGACACTTACCACTCTTTAGTCAGCCCTCCAGCCAAGGTCTTTTTTTGCTTCTCATTTGTTCTTTTCCTTCATTTTAGGGCTACTCTCTCTGCTGACCCAGAGCTCCTGTTTATTTTTTTACATTAGGTTTCCGAAGATTTTAACTTTTCTCCCTGCCTCTGAAGGAGTGGTGCATATTCTGAAATGTAGCTGCTGTAATGGAAGCAATAGATGATCAATTAACCTTCTTTTATCCATAGTGAGCATCTAGCTTTTCCAAGGCCACCATTTCAGGAGCAGTCTTTTCAGGAAAAGGTTCTTTTGTTTTTTTTCTTGACATTACTTTTTTCCTCTCCTTGTAGCTCATATCTTAGAATTCAGGCTGCTTTACACATCTTTCTGAATCACTTGAAAAGTCCTGGTGGCACAAATGAAGTAGAGCCTTCAGAAATGGAAAAATATTGTTAAAGGCAGGATGTTCTGCTATGTGAGTCCCCAGGTTGACTCAGGACATTCAGACTCATTTCTGAGGCTCACTGCCTGATCTTGGACAAATCACTTTGTTCTTTGCTTCTAAAAAGATGATAATTAAAAAATAAAACAAGATGTTTAAAAATAGAAAACAAATTATAGGCATTAAACTTGCATGCAGTTCTCTTCAGTATAAAACGTTAGGATTATAAGTTCTTGGATTACCATTTTGTGTGAGGGAACCTTGCCTTCGCCTAACCTGCTTGCTTTCAGCTGTAGTAGAATTACTGAACAAGAACAAAACTACAGAGTTAGAAGCAGTCTGTTGTGTATAGCACTAGGTGTATAGCACTAGGAGGGACGCCCTCAGGTCACAACATGCATTCTGCTTTAAAGTACTTCTTATTTGTCAAGCCTTCCTTCATGGGGTAGTACATATCTCTGGGGAAGGGGTATTTTGGGGATTGTCATATCTTGTCTGGGTTAGAACAGGATCCAGAAGCAAAGACTTTGAGATGTTGTGTGGTAGGTATTACTAAATTTGTTAATTTAATGTAGGTCTTTGTTATGAAAAATGTCAGTTCACTATGTAAAATGTGTGAAACAGTCATATCTATTTCTCTCTAGAGAAAATGCAAATCAGATTTAATTTCCAGTTTTGTTTAGCTTAATGTCAAAAGGTTGTCTTAACCTTTCAAGCACAAACTGCTTTGGTAAGACCTGTGTTCAAAAACTGCCTCAGCAAAGGCCAACAACACACTCGAATCATCAGCAGGCTTTGTAAGAATAAATGGGTGAGCAGAATTCAGAGGCTCAGGTTTCCATTCTCTGGCCACCATGAGGAGGAAATGAAGGGACTACTGGGTCACCATTCAGGTGATCTCAAGTGCAATAACAGATGTAGTTCATGGTCTGCACCTTGGGCAGACTATATGGGAAAAGGTAGGAGGAGTCAAGGGCACAGCTTTGAAAGATTAAAAATAAAAGAATGATGGAGCTGCTATCTCCCTAGATTCATCTGCTATGCTAGGAGGAGGACTGGAGCATTTGTTGACTCAGCTGATATTAAAAATAAAACATGAAGTGAATAACAGATCAGTAAATCTGCATATATTATTAACCCATTGAAGCATTCATTAAGAAAAAAACACGGAGTGATAGTGAAGATAAGACAGTCCTCAGAACTCTCACCAGATAAAATCACACCTCATTAGTCTTTTGATTATATCAATGTAAAAACTGTAATACAAGAAGAAGAGCTTAGATGAAGAGCTTGTGTCACTTTGCTGTTCAATGAAAACTTTGACACAGACCTTCACAAGAAAAACAAACGGATCTGACAGTCTATGGGTCAGATGCATGGCAGTGTTACACATCAGGGAATGAACAAGATGAAAAAAAAAAGCATTATTTTGGTGTTGTTTTTCATAACGAGAAGAAACTGTACTTCATAACCAGATGAGGAGGGGAAAAAAAAAAAAAAGAAAAACAAGTCAAGAGGAGTTTTTTTCCAGACATTCTTTGCTTGTCTCTTTAACTTCTGCAAGAGATGGAAGGCATTGCAATTATATTCTTGAACTGATTAAGTTGTTAACATGCTTACAGTGGATTCATGAGTAGTTAGAATCAGCATTAATTATTCCTTCTTAAACCTAATGGATCTGACAATGAAAAAGCTTTATTTCAGTGTGCATTGTAAGGACTGAAGTATCATTTAGAGTGGGTAACAGCTGTAGCCTTTTTGACACTTGATCTCACTTAAAGTGTCAGAATAGTGTTTCAGTGAGGTATGACCAGGACTTCCATAGCTCATGCTGTCCCTCGGCATGGGACCAATTTCACTCATGGACTATATCAAAAGTTCATTCCATACGGGAAATAAATACATGTTTGTACGAATTAAATATCCTTGGAAACCGTTTAATGCAGTCTCCAGGATTGTGTCCTGGATTGTAGCCTCCGACAAACTCTGTAGCATCATCCTTGCAGACCACTACCTGACCAGGAGTGCGCATCATTGCCACAAAGGAAATAAAAGTCTCTCAAGAGCTGTGTAACAGGAGAGTTTTGTCCTGATTGGCAGTGGGTGAAGTTGACGGCTGATGAGGCCTGGTTGCCTATCTTTATTAGGGGACTTTCCAGAGAACCACCCAGAATGAAGGAAATTAATGTGCTCATGAGGAAATTGCTTTTCTGGGAGATGGCCTAATCACTCCTGCTGCAGGGGGGCAGGATGCCTTTCGCAGTGTCTCTGCATCCCATTACCATGCATGTCTGCAGTGTGCAACTGGAGCAGTCTGAAAAATAAGGACAGTATGTCTGCTGGGTTATACTGAGTGTGAGCAGTTGGTAACCTTCAGGAGCTTGTAACCCAGCCAAGCCTAGAAGTGTGCCTGCAAGAATACCAAATAGCTCCTGCAGCCCAGGGCTGCGTCCCAGCCTGAGTGATGGCCTCCTCCAAATGATGGTGAATTGCGTGCTGGTTTAGAAGTAAATATCTCATGCTTCTGCTGTGTTTTCAATTTAAGTGTAGCAAATGAAGACTGCGTCCTCTTTTTCCATCCAAGAGCCAGCTTTAATCCAAAAATCTCTTCACTTTTGTTTTCGCACAGGGATCTACCGCACAGAAAAAAATAAAGGCACGTTGTATGAGCTGACTTTCAAAGGAGACACGAAACATCAGTTTAAGAAGATTGTTTTATTCCGACCATTTGGTCCTGTAATGAAAGTGAAAAATGAAAATATCAATATGGCTGACACACTTATTAACATCATTGTGCCATTGGCCAAGAGAGCCAACAAATTTCGGCAATTCATGCAGAATTTCAGGTGGGTTTCCACTGCAGTGCTGCCTTTGCTTTTTCTTATTTGGGAAGTAAGATGCAACTTCAGGAGTTATCCTCACTCACTGCTACTTCTACACAAGTTCATTGTGCCACTAAGTCATTTTTGAGATTATAGACTGAAAGGCATTTGGCTACTTAATGCATTGTGATCAGCAATAAAAGCAATTATAGTCCAGTCATCAGGGTTTCTGATTTGCATGTATCTGACTTATATGTCTCAGGCTGTTTGTTGGGCACATACAATTGTGGCAACATAAGAATTTCATGGCAGTAGTTGCAAAGGAACATTTCTAAAGAAAAGAGCAATCGGTGCTCTCAGACATCAGGCCCCATTAGACAAAATATTAAGGCAATAAGAAGCACGAAGGAAACATATTTGAACTTTCAGGATAGTTACTTTTAAACTTCTTTTAATCTTCAGCACAGAGATGTTTGGAGGTGTAACTTTAAATAGCTGCCCATAGGACTGTGTTATGAACAGATACTGACTCTTACAATGGGATTTGTTTTGCCTAATTGCAGCCATCTAAAAATGGGCTCCTTGTCTAAATTAGCCATCTGACTGGTGCTTGTTTTAGCCTGAGAAAAATTGCCCTCTGGTTATGCTGATCTCTCTGCTGATTACAGATGAACTCTTGCTGACTAAACTTTGTGCAAGTGATGCATAGTGTCTAGCATTAGTTCTGATTGGTCTTACCCTTAGGCTATGCATTTGATCTCTGGTCGATACTTAGATTTTAGTAAATGCCAAAGATCTGAATTCTGGAGTATGTTACAAGAGATCAAGGTTATGAGGTAAGGTATGTATTAAAATCCCCCTTCTCATATTCTTGTAAGTGCTGGAGTTGTTGCCTGCCTGATCATTCTTGCTGGGGCTGGATGGGCTGTTTTAACAATGTCCTCCTGTTAATATAACAAACAATGCTTAGAGAGCTTGATCCTACTCTGCCTGAAAGATAGACTTCTGTCCCATCTGACAGAAGCAGCGGTTTCCTTTGTCAGGACGAGGATCTCTTGTCAGTGAATCATGCCCCCAGGAATGCCTCCAAGGTTCACCCTACTCTGCGTTCCCCAGTAGATGTAGGTTATTGAAGAAAGCTAACTTCTGGAACAAGTCAGAGATCTGTCTCTGTTCTCTAGGGAAATGGGCATTCAGCAGGATGGGAGAATTCACCTCACTGTAGTTTACTTTGGAAAAGAACAAATGAATGAAGTCAAATCAATACTTGAAAATACCTCAAGGTAAGTGAATGAACATCTGATGTGTGCTGTTCTTACACTGGATTGTACTGTGGAGACTACACTACTGTTCAAACATGCAATTGGGTCAAAAAGTTCTAAACTGCATTGGAAAAAATGGCTCTTTTTTTTTTCCCCTGACTAAAAACATTGTTACCCAGACAGTCCCATACCTGTGGTTTTGTGACATTGCTTTTTAGAACCACAAACAGATTTTATTGAATTTTACCTCAATGCAGCTTTTCTTTTATTTTTTTCCCCCACACTGATAACGTTTTAGTGGTTTTGAACGTGGTGGTAACTGTTAGGACTGAAAGTTGACTTCTAAATGCAGGTGGAGCACACAGACTCTGGATGCTTTTGGCCAGCTCTGGATTACTGAGTTTGCTTACATAGCTGTGTTTGTAAAGATCATGTGGCAGTGTAGTCTTCTGTTATCATCTCCATGTAGGAAGAACACCCTTTTATAGATACAGTAATATGACCATAGGTAATTTATACTGGCATACTGTAGATATTTTTGTCAGTCTAAGCCTTGTTGGGATTTTTGTGAGGTCTGCTCAGAGAAAGTCTGTGATAGGAATGCTAGCGTGTGAGTTCACAGGTCAAGCTCTGAATGTAGACCCAGTGGAAATCTCCTGAAAAGTCAAAGAGGACACCTCTTCCCTCAAACAGCTCTCAAACTGTGATACTACAGCTTTCTAGGTTAATGCTTTCATATTGGGTTCCCACCCCTGACTTGTGTGAAGAGTTGTATGGACAGGGTAAGTTGCTGAATATTTTCCTTCTAGGTCAGCCAACTTCAAGAACTTTACCTTCATCCAGTTGAATGAAGAATTTTCCAGGGGCAAAGGACTAGACGTTGGTGCTCGATTTTGGAAAGGAAGCAATGTTGTTCTGTTTTTTTGCGATGTGGACATATACTTCACAGCTGAATTCCTGAACTCCTGCAGGTTGAACACCCAGCCAGGTACTGCAACTCATGAAGTATATTATCTTTCAACAGGTTTTACCTATTGTATAAAAGCCTTCACCATAGTATTCCTGTCTTTGAATTGGTAATGAAGCTACTGTAAATCAGTTGTTAATCAGTTGTAACAATTCCTGCTCCCACTGTGATTGAATCCCTTGCCTTGAGCATCTGCTTTCTGGAACAGGATCTTTTTGTTAATTATGTCCTCACAGTCATATTCTTATGCAAAGAATATAGGCTCAGTGCAAAATTTGTGTAATTTTTTCTAGATTTGGTCTGATCTGGACAGCATCTTGTAAGAGACAGAAGTGTGTTTTATGCTGCTATTTAAAAAAATAACCCATTGTCATTTCCAGGCAAGAAGGTGTTTTATCCTGTTCTCTTCAGCCAGTATAACCCCAGTATAATTTATGGCCACCATGATTCTATCCCGTCTTTAGAACAGCAGCTGGTAAGTATATTCTTCTCTGAATGCCTGCTTTTATTTAAACAAAGCATTTTTTAAATGTGCATGTGCTCTTGGGTAGCATTCCCCTATTCTTTGTGCACAGTGACCACCACAGACAAAATTAACTATGGCAGTCACGGTGAGTTCTGCAGGTATGCTGAGTTGACAAGGTGGTGTTGGGTCACAGGTTGGACTTGATGATCTCAGAGGTCTTTTCCAGTCTAGTTGATTCTGTGATTTTGTGTTTCACAGGTACCATTTAGTTTAAGCCTTTTTAAAAGTTTTTACATGGAACCTAAGAGTTTGAATTGTGTCTGTTACTCTGCCAGAAGGGATTTTCTAATTAGTGAACAGCTCCTCCATGGTGTGCTGTCTTGGGGTGACAGTCCCTGATCCTGCTCTTATTTCTTCCTTGCACTGAATAGTATTTGCATTTGAAGAACTGATGTTTGTAAAAAGCATAGCAATCCTTAGATGAGTCAGTGAAAGCAAAATTCCAGGGGCTGTCACAGTTTTCCCCTCATTTACTTGAACACCTTACAGTAGCTTTTCGCATCCCACAGTTCATGATTAAACTGCCTGCGAGCAGTTTGTTTCTGAGGTGTATCGTGTTGTCTCGGAGTCAAATGGCATGCTTGGAGCCGTCCCTTCTGGCTTTAATCTGGCACTGATACAACACAGCATAACTCCACTGATTTCCATCTTACTTGCTTATTTTTGGTGTGAGAACAAAGCAAGTGATTTTAAAAACATAGCCAGAAGGCATACGATTGCAGCATGCATGAGTCTCCTCGGTGAGGAGGGAGCTGTTCTGAAGAAGAAAGAGAGCACACAGACGAGAGGCTCACATGAATGCTAGTGATAGAGGCATTGCTTGACACTGCTGCAGACACTGTTCTCCATTCTCTTATGCTCTGGTGTTGCACTGTTCGGAATTTAAAGGCTTGATAAAAGTGCTTCTTGCTTCTCTCCAGAGTCAGTGGGTCACAGTCCTCTGCCCACTAGTCCTGCTAAGTGGCTGAATTTTCAAATTGAAGCATAAGCCAGCTATGCAGCTTCATTCAGTTTCTCTGGCTCAGGTCCCAAAATGCCACATCTGCCCCTGTTACTGCCAGGCACTGCACGTGTCAGGGCTCATCATGTCCCAGACTGGACACTGTCCCCAGAGCATCCCAGCTGCTATTGTTGTTCTGGGTTGGTAGGGTAGATAGGAATTAGTGGTGTTGTGAGCCCAGAAACAGCCACAGCTGAAAAAGATCACCTGGGGTCTGAGTCCAGTCTTCTGTCATCACTACCCCCACCTTGTAAGAGTCCCTCTTTAGAAATGAAGAGTGCCAGTTTGAAAATAATACTTTTTTTTTTTTTCTCTACTGTTGTCTGTGTTATCAAACATGTAGCCAGAAAGCCTTTTCCTGAAAAGTTTGGAAAATCCCTTCTGCTGTTTTTTTCTCAGAGGAATCTTATTCTGATAATACCATGGGATTCATGTTAGCCCTTCTCTCTCTGATGAGACCCTGTCAGGGACCCTCAAGCTTGTAAGCACTGTGCTTAGGGAATAAAATAGAGTTCAACTTGCAAGCAAGCATAAAGTCCACAAAGTACGTTGCCAGGATTGTGAAAATATTTATAGCTAATATTTGAATCATAAAATGTGATGCTTACATCAGAAAAGCTTCTTGATTTAAAGAACTACAGCCAATCTCATTTTTATGCAGATTTTTATATTTTTAGCCCACATTGGTTCCCAGGCATGAGGCCAGATCTATGCCATTAAAACAAGACAGTGTTACCTCTCTGTCCTGGTACTTGGGCTGCTGAGGAAAAAAACCCAAACCTTTGGAAATCTGTGATAGAATTTGATTTGTGCAGCAGCCACTTGTGCTAATGGGAAATGATAATGCTAATGCATTCGAGTGGCTTGCTGTAAGGGCATCATTATAGAGACTTGTTACAGTGCAGACCTGACAGATACAATTTTGTTCCCTTTTAATTGGCTTCTGAAGTGAGTTGGCTTTTTCAAGGAAAGCAGAAATAAGAAACGAAAGCAACAGCAATGTGAGCAGTAAAAAAAGCTATTGAAGTGACAAGAGTTATGAACAAAAAGGGGAGATATGAACAAGAAATCAGGAGAGACTACTTTGGAAGAGCATTTCTTGGTGAAGGAAACACTCGGATTTGTAAATCCAAAAATGGAAATTCTGTCTCCTCATCTTCTATAACTCTGTCACAAGGGCAGTCAGAATTTTCCAAAGCAGCTGCTGAGGGGTAGGTTTCTAACCAGACCTTCAAGAGTGTGAAGTACTGCTGACTTGCTCAGAAGCTTTAAACAGCTGGCCCAATCACTTGAAGCTCTTGGATGTCTCACCAGATTGGGTTAGGTCACTCATACTCATGAATTTATGATGCTAGGGACCTATACTTGGATTTCTGCTTTTCAATATTATAGCCATGGTTTATCAGTGCTCCGATTTTTTACCTGTAATACATAATGTTTTCATGGTCCATCTCAGTAACATAGACTTCGCTTATTTTCACAAAGGCTTTTATGGGAAGTATATCCTAACATTTCTGGACTTCAGTTTTAGCTGGATATAGCAGTTCTGTAATGGAAAATTATTCTTGGTACCTTCCTAATTTTTGTCAAAATTAAGGTAATCAGAAAGCCATCAGTTGTGCGATCAAGATTAGAACCACAGTTTTCTTCCAGAGCTCTTGGGGTCCACAATCCAGGTGCCACCACCTGCTCTTACAGCAGAGTCTGGCTTCCCTGGTTTACCAATATGTTTCTTACATTTGAATGCCACAGAAAGAAACGAACAATTTTGGAGGATGTTTTGCCTGCAAAGAGGTAAGCTCCAGAGAGCAGTGTGATAATATTCTACTTGGTCTACAACAGCAGGAGTGGAGCAAAATCTGATGATTTTGCATCAGGGGCTTTGTCCATGATGGCTAATGACACAGGTGTTTTTTGGAGGCAGAGACATGCAATGAGTATCTACAAAAACAGATTCAGGATCAGACATGGATTCACATGGGGAAGAATAAAAGGGCAGTTGCTCCTATTTCTGACCACATTCAGGGGCTTGTCTGTTGCTCACTCTGAAAGCATTTCTGCTTCCATATAAAAATTCTTTTCCCTCCATGCAGATTATTAAAAAAGAAACTGGATTTTGGAGAGACTTTGGTTTTGGGATGACTTGCCAGTACAGATCTGATTTTATCAACATAGGTAAGAAAAATACACTCCAATTCATCTGTCTTTTTACTAAAACATAAAATAACAATCAGCCTCCCTTTCCTTGGCTGATGTGCCTATGTCACTAATTTGCAGCAGTGCTGTGGTTAGATATTCAGACTATTCCTAGGTGCCATAGAGGTTACCAGAATCTAAGCACTGCTCAGTACAAATAAAGTTTTGTCTGATAGTTAAAGATTTGATGCTGAGAAATTTGGGCACTTGGATGTTCACAGAAAATGTGTCTGTTTTAAAGGGCTGATTGGAGCCAGAAAACAGCTGCAGTTTAATTATTAGCATTGAGTTTCCTAGTTTATATTTCTAGTTTTATTTTGGATTTTGTTTGCGTCAGGTGGCTTTGACCTGGACATTAAAGGCTGGGGTGGTGAAGATGTACATCTCTACCGCAAATACCTTCACAGCAACCTCATCGTGATCCGAACGCCTGTCAGGGGTCTCTTCCATCTGTGGCATGAAAAGCAGTGTCTGGACGAGCTGACCCCGGAGCAGTACAAAATGTGCATGCAGTCCAAGGCCATGAACGAGGCTTCTCATGGCCAGCTTGGGATGCTTGTTTTCAAGCAAGAGATTGAGACCCATCTGCACAGACAGAAATTGAGTAGTAAGAAGACATGAAACCAGAAAGGGAGGCCAAGAGCCTCTGAATAGGTTGTTTTGTGAAAACAGAGAAGATGGAATCAGGCTGAAAGGGGATGGAGATTTCAGCAAGACGGCAGCAAAAGAAGAAGAGGGGAAAGTGTTTGTCCTCCTTACTTTTGTATTTATTCTAATGGGGCTTTTCAATACTCCATTAGCCTGACTTTTCAGCACTTCTTCTAGGGGAGACTTGAGCACTTGATGAGATTCAAGGTCATGTAATGGAGACAATGAATGTTACATAAATGCCAATGTGGCATTCATGGACATGCTCCTCCTTTGAAATGTTTATAAGATGTATACAGTTATTTAAAGGATTGACCTGTTTGTGGGCCAAGAATTAGGAGTTCTTTTCTACATCTCACCTGATATATCTAAAAAGGGCTATTTTTGAATAAGTACAGAGCTCCTGCTGTGAGAAGGACATCTGATTGTTAACGATGGTTAAGCTGGAAAAGGGTTAAGCCCCTTTTCTCTTAAGGGGCTGGGATGGGGTGGGGGACAGCAGCAGTGCACTAACAAGGCATTCCCAGTTCATCCAGAGAAAGAGGTATCTCAGAAAGTGCTTTCTCAAATTCAGAAACAGAAAACCCTACTGATCAAATGTGATGGTTCCAAAGCACTTGAGGGGGAGTGTTTGTTCTCCTCTGTGGATGGTGAACAAAAATCAATGAGCCACATCTGTATCATGTGAACCAGATGGTGTACTTCTGCTTTAGAATACTGTATGTATCTCAAGATTTATTTTTAAATGAAGTTGGTTTCGCTTGGGAATTATTTTGTCAAACTTCAGGTTTTCTACTTCTAGCCTTACTAGGAAACAGTACAGCCTTCCAACACGTGGAAAATGCTCTACAGATCTGTGTTTCCTATGGATGGGATCTGGGTTCAGATAAGTGAAGTGATTTTTCTACACAACTTGGGTACTGGAAGGCAGAAGCTTTATCATGCTGAAGAAAAGGAAATACATTATCAACTTGAAGTCCTGATTTAGGAGGCTTTAAACTCTGAATGCCAGATACCAAAATTGATGAACATTTTCTGACTTTATACCAAAGTATTCCTTCTAAACCAAATATAGAGCCTTGCCCAGGGCACAGAAAGCTTTTTGTAATTAACAAAATAAATTTTTTTGATGGATTACTGGACCCTACAAATTCTCTTATGATAATTATAGGTACTAATCCTAAAAATTTGTAATCTTCCTAATAGATTTTTTTCAATTGCCTAAAACTGTTGAAAGTCTGAGTTACTGCTCTTATAAAGCATTTTCTTTTAGTGTTGACTGCTATTTATCATTTTAATATATACCAGTCAACAAGAACTGCATGGGCTTGGAAATCCCATTTGTTTACCTAAATGCTGTTTCTCTGAGCAGTCCCTTCGTTTTATAGCTTCAGGTTAATACAAGGCAGTCTGAAACAGATTCTGATTTGTTTTTTGTCTTGCAAAAGCTGGGGGAAGAAATATGAAAGATAGCACTGAACAATGAATGAACCACTTTTTGATGTGCCACTGTGCAATAGGAAGAGCACTTGTGAGCCTCTTTTGAAAGCACTGCATGCAGAACCTGCAGACAGAGACCATGCCACTATAAGTACCTTTTCCCTTGACACATGTTTATATGTGTTTGTCTTTTGTTGGATGTAAATGATCTGCACTGCACTCCTCTTGCAAATCATCAAAAGGGTCCAAAACACTGCCAAAGTACAAAAAGAATGAAAACTTTGTATACTTAACCCCAAAATACATCACTTATCATAGAAACTTCAGCAATCACTCAAAGAACTGTTTTGTTCCCAGAACACATGATAAGTTATTTATAAAGGGCTTTGTTTTGATGAAGTGACTTTACAAATATTATGCAGTAGGAGGAGACAGGCATGGCTTGTTGAGTGCATATGAAAGTTATGGTAACTCAGCTGCTCCAAGACAGCTGTTCCAACAGTCCCAGTTAACCTGAATTTGAAACTGGCTGTTGCATATTATGAGAGTTTCATAATCATAGCCTGCCTCAAGCCTAGCCTCAACTATTTCTGAGATAGGTTTTTTTCACTGTCTTCCCTGGGGTTTCCCTAATTGCTCAGTAACCTAATGTAACTTTGAGATTGGCCACACTTGTAGAGCAGGGCTAGACAAGATGATCTCCACAGGTCCCTTCAAACCTACATTAGTTTCCAGTGCTAAGCACTGGACACTTTTAAATTCAACTCTTCATTATTTTGGGTACCTTAGCAAGCGTGTCATCAAGACTCCATTAAGTTTCACAAGTTATGTGAAGCACATTATCCTTACTCCACAGATTTTTTTGGCAATTAGATTTTGGAACAATAGAAGAGCCGGTCTCAAGCATCTATTGTGGCAAGATATCTGTCTTTGCAGTCAGTGCAGTGATCTAAATATGTAGGTACAAAACTTCACGCTTCTTTTCTCACAGAAGACAGGTGAAGCTGGGAATCTTTGAAAAACTGAGGCATGTCTCAAACATGAGATAGATGTGAACATGGATAGTGGTTTTTCCTGGGCTGTATTGAGAGAACATTTGCAAATAAGTAGTTTAATATAAAGCTGTGTGAAGCTACTGGTCCACTGTTAAGCAGGGCAAACCCTGAGGAGTTTTACTATAGATCTTAGAGCTAAAATTGATTAAGTTCTGCTGCATCCATGCCAGATCAGCCTGGACCTTATTTATACAAGTTAACACCCTGTCTCTCAAAATGCCTTTTTTAGATGCATTTAGACTTTTTCCTCTGTCTTTACCAGTCCATAGGTATGCAAAACACTTCATGATTTTTTCTTCTGCAGGATAACAACTATGGCACATTCTCCACATCAGAGCAGATGCTTTTCTCTAGGGTGTTTGAAGGACATTTTGTTTTGGCCATATTTTTAAAATAAACAGTTCATAAAGAGGGAAGGAGGGATTTATCCCCCCTATAAATAATCTAATACTCCTTCTCCTGACTGCTGCAGATTATGTTGAAGTTATTTCTTTGATACATATGATATAATGCTCAAGAAGCTCATTAAGTCAATTGCAGTGCCAGAGTGTCATTAGATTCAGAATCTCAGTTTACACTAAGGCTTTATTTCTAGCAAAGTACACCTGCTGTAACTAGAGTGCAGTTTTCCCCTTTCCTTGAATGGAAATTGCCTGTCAGTGTAGTTGTAAATTTAAGACCAGATGATTACGATTTCTTTTAATCTATATCCCACAAAACACAGATCAGTCTAAGACTAAGGTTTTGACTGCTCCTTCAAGTTAAGCAGAATAGCCCTGATCTAACAGAAAAAAAGAAAAGAGGTAAAAACAGGTAAACAACTGAAACAAGATTGACTGTTGTTCACTATTTGAGGATAGCATCTCTAAAACACTCTCTTAGCAGATTCACACCACAACAAGCTGTAGAGCTTGTCATGTGCAACATCAGGGGATCTCAGGAGTAATTTGTTATGTGATTCTGTCCAGCCTCTCCCCCAATATTCTGAATGATGTATTTAAAGAGCAGTGTAACAGATAAGAAGAGAGAATATAACATTGAAAGAACAAGTTCTGTAATGAAGTTTGCATCAGATGCATCTGGGCAATCCGGACACAACTTGCAATAAATAGCTCCATTTTGGAAAATAGCATTCTTTACTGGTAAACACTCTTCTGTAAACTGTATTAATACTGATATGGGTGCTGCTTCTTACATTTTTTATGCTCTGTACCTGTGGTAGTCTTTATACAAATACCTCTGTCCCTTCTTTCCCTTTCAAAAGGTTAATCCCTCTCAATGCAGGAAGGTCTGTGTGGGATTTAAATACAGGTTAAAAGAGTGAGGATCTATATGCAGAGGCTAGAGGAATTTAAAAAATGTACTCTTCATGAAAATCCATCATCACAGAGAGCACCTTTCACTGAAAGGCACTCAGGGTTTGCTTGGATGTTCAGTCTGATTGTCCTTCATTTCAAGGACACAGCATTTTACAGAATTAAGCTTCACATTATGCAAATTACATATCAAGATTGATTCACCTCTCCAAGTTGTTATGTGCCTTCAGGAAGGTATGATCTCATTCAACTGTAGGTACTAATCTATTTCCCAGATGGCACACAACCTTGCATTCAAGAACAAAAGGCCGCTTGAATACAGAAGTCCCTGAAAAAAATCTGCAAAAACCCACTGAAAATCTGTGGCAGTATCTCCTGTTCAACTGACTATTCATCAAGTCATTTACTCCATTGTGTGGGATACATCCAGGTGCTTTGCAGCTTGCTGGGCTGATGCATCCTTCACTCAGTTGATGTGATAAACCCACAACAGTACTTATCCTCCTACTGCTTCATTTTGAAGGATATAAAATAGAGGCACTTAGGGTTTCAGGTGAGTATCAGCAGCTCCAGTTCCAAGTTCAGTCTTTGTGAATACAAGCCTGGGACTGCGCAGTGAGACTGGGAGGTTCACGCAAAGAGAGAGATGTAGTCTGGCTCTTGGTCCTCTTGGCCACATGGGTACAGCAGCAGCTCCTTCCCCAAGGAAGTGATGGGTTCGTCCTGTTGATATAGGATATGATCAAACACCAGTTTTCAAACAGACCGTACCTGTCACAACCTCATGGGTTGGACAGCAGTCTCCCTGCCTCTGTTATGGTGTGACCTCATTCATGCCGCTGTGTGATCCAACTCAATGCCCTGAGGCACTTGGGGGACAACTCAAATGGGTGTCCTCTGTCTTCATAACAAATGTCTGTGCTCAGTGCCATAACTCAGTGACACAGAACTCTGGCATTTCTCAGAAAGAGCTGTGCTCATTTTGTAGGAAACTACAGCTTCTGTGAGATGAAGTGGTGCCCTGCCTAGAAAGTGCTGGAGCAAGGACTGTGCAGCGTGCAGGAAAGCAGGACCGTGTGCTTCTGGCTGTGTTTGTGGGAGGTGGATCCTGGAGTGAGCACATACCCTCTGCTCAGGCAAATCCTGTTCTAACCAGGGAATTCCCTGATAGTACAGTCTCTGCTTCCAATCTTGTTCTCCATCCTGGCAGCAGATGCATGGTGGGGACTTGCCTTTTTTCATGGTCACCCAGTGGGTAATAAGCAGAACCCACTGGGACACTTTGGCAAAGTGGGTTTAGCCTGCCCACATCTGCTGTAGTGCAGGGGCTCTGTAGGATTCATTGCAGACTATGGGCACGGCTCTATCTTTGATGTAGCTATGCTCAACCAGGCTTTAAATCCCCTGGATCTGGAATCAATAGCTGTGTAGCTCCCACTTTCCGTAATTCCAGCCTGAACTGTGAAAACCATGCAAGAAGCAAGTTCAGGCAGCCCAGATGGAGTTTCATAGAGCAAATGAATATAAATATTGTCCTCATTTCGAATTTTGTTTAGCCATATCTGTATTAGGTTGGGCACTTATTGAAAAGAAACAGGGATTTTTAAATGAACCTGTAAGAAAAAGTCTCATTCCTGGGCAGATCTTACAGTGAAGGAATAAACAATCCATCTGGCTCTCCTTGGAGCCCATGTAACTGTAGTCAGTGCTGGTAGACACTACTGTTATTGTTGCCAAATCTGCCAACCTTCTTCCTTCCCTTTTATTTTTTTATCATCTTTGCTCAGTATCACACCTTGTCTGCTTTGAGATTATAAAGATACGTTGTTCTCTTTCATGCTGAAGCTGGATGCAAGCAGGATTTTCTGTTTACCCAACTTGCCAGAACCACAAAACCACAGAAGGTACAAAAGAAAGGAGTCTATATGCTGTCACCTCTCATTTGAGCAACATTTCTAAGTAGCAGGAAAGTAACTCGAGCCCTGTGTGCAAGGTATTCTGTGTGCTTTGGAGTGAATGAGTCAGATCTAAGATGTTTGAGACGTGTTAGGCCATTTTAGATGTACTGATCAGGCTGACATACCCTTCCTGGAGCAGCACACAGCAGTTAACACCCAACAGCAGTTAAAATGGGTCTAGTTACCTACTTCAAAATAACTGCATCTATTCTTTCTTATTTTGGAGTGCCCTGAGGCAACTAAACATTTAATGAATGTATTGATAGATATTTACCTTGTGGTAGTCTACAAGGTCAGCCAGTGTTGAATGTTGCAGCTGGTCCA